GGGAATCCAGGATAGATAAACCCCTCAGGGCCAACAATGAGACTAGAGATACCAGGAGGATTAGGGGAAGGTGGGGGGAGAAAGGGGGAATCGGTCACAAGGATCAACCTAGAACTCCCTCCCAGGGGGACGAACAACGGAAAAGTGGGTGAAGGGTGACAGGATGAAAATAATAATCTAAAACTTATCAAGGTTTCATGAGGGAGGGCGTGTGGGAAGGGAGGGGGGGAAATGAGGAGCTGATATCAAGGGCTCAAGAAAATGCTCTGAAATTGATGGCAGCATACATGCAAATGTGCTTGACACAATGGATGAATGTATGGATTGTAAAAAGAGATATAAAAGCCCCCAATAAAAGTATTTAATAAAAAAATTTTTTTAAACGAGCCTGGTGACTTAGTGGGTTACATATTGGGCTGTGAATCAGAATGTTTGAACCCACTAGCCGCTCTTCAGGAGAAAGATGAAGCAATCTGCTCTCATAAATATTTACAGCCTCAGAAACCCCGAGGAGCAGTTCTCCTCTGACCTATAGGGGCACTGGGAGTCAGAACTGACTTCATAGCAGTGGTTTTTGTTTTTTTGGTACAACTGTTAAAACAAGGGCGAGGGGCTCCTAAGGTGTAAGGGAAGCCTTTTTTCTTGCCAATGGATTGCGAATTTTCCCACAATTGTAAAGGATAGGAAGGCAGGTGAAAAGGTTTGCCATGCTAGTTACTCAAGGTGACAAGAGAGAAGCATCCCAAAGCACGTGCAGAAGTCTCCAGGGCTGATCAGGGGAAGGAGTTTCAGGGCCCAGTCTTTTCACAGAAAGAATGGGAAAGGGCAAATGCCAATGCAAGCTCTGTAGTTAATAGGCCCACCGGCTGGAGGCAAAGGAAGGACAGTGGTCTGTCCTCAGTGCAGTTTTGAGCATACTCAGGGGCCCCGAGTCTGAAAGGTGTGAGTCAGTGCTGCACCTAATCAGCGTCCTCTGACTCGGGATTCTAGAGCTGTTCGCCTGCCGAGTCTCAAGAACTTGAACTTGCCAGTATTCACTTTGTAAAGGCCACTTGGAGGTTTGGCTGAGTCCCAGAAGGTAGTAGGAACAGAGGCTGAGCACACCTCCATCACTGCGATGGCCCCAAGACCAGAGGTGATGAGCTCAGCCCCTGAGGAGGTCCCAGGACACCCTTCCCCACAAGCTTTTGTCTAGGCTCTTGGGTCTTACCAGGACTGTAACTCTTCCCCACCAACTTCCCAGGATCCCACTGACCCTGAAGCTCCAGAGAAGGCTCTGGAGCCCAAGCCTGTTGGTCTCCCGCAGTCCCAGCCCAGGTTCCATAACACCTCGTGTGGGTCACAGTGGCCAACCTCCTCCCCTGCCCCCACCGGCTCGGGTTCTGCCTTATTCCTGCTGTGTCTGTGGAAAGCACTTTTAGCTCAAGCATCAGATGGAGGCACACTACTGAGTCCACACAAGCAAAAAGTCCTTCTCCTGCAGCTTGTGTCCTCAGTGCTCCCGGAATTTCTCTGCCATGACCAAGCACCTGCGGATGCATGGTGCCACGCCCTACAGCTGCCCTTTGTGCCCAGCCAGCTGCTCCAGCCTGGCCTCCATGCAGCCTCACATGTGCAGCCACTTGTCCAGCCAGGTGCCACCAAGATGGTCCATTCACTTTGCCTTCCTCTATTCCTCCACCTCCAGGTCATCCTGGGCTTCGCCCTCTACCTGTAGTAGTCCCCTTTCTGCCATAACCTGATGGGGAGATCTGCGGCTTATATGGCCTCAGTCTAGAGTCCAATGAATGAAGGGCAGGCCAGCAGGCCACCTGACCAGGCACCTCTGCTACCTAAATTGGGCTTCAGAACTGCCCCAAAAGCCAGCCAGCCCGCCTACCCATGGGCCACAGCAGCCTGGGTCAGAGAGCCAAGCAGGATGAGGACAATGAAGTTCCCACAACTCAAGGTCAATTATACTGGGGCTACGGATTACAAGACCAAAATAAAGAGTTTACTGTGCCTTTCCCGAAAACAAACAAACAAACAAACAAAAATAGGGACACAAAACTAATATCTTTCCCTTTTTATTTAACCACTCAGAAAGGACACGATTAAATATATCCTTAGGAGGAAACACTAGATTCCCCAGAAAAATTCATTTCAGGGGACAGCACTGAATCTGAAGCTCCGGGAGAGGGACATGTCTGATCAGAGCACAAAGGAGCAAATGAAGGAGGAGGAAGAGAGAGTGGAGCACATCCTGGCCCACCAAGCCTTAAGGAGGATATTCCTGCTCATCAGCCAATCCACAGAGAAGAGCATATGGCCACCCCACTACGAGACATGACATCCCTCACTGACCTATAGCCCCACAGGGGACAACACTGGAGACACTGTGGGAATTCTGCCGGATCTGATACCACCACACCGAGGCAAAACACTAAGGGTGCGCAAAAGAACAGCAAGGGGAACAGAGCAACGGAGTCCCCGGGGAATACAAAAAATAGACTTTGAGGCCAGGGCTTGGTGCCCCAACAGACTTGACTGGAAAACACTTCTAAAGGCCAACAAACAGTCCTTGAACAAACTACAAGCTTTTCTTTCTTGTTGTTTTGTTTTGTTTTTTTGTCATTGGTTTGTTGGTTGTGTTGCTATATTTTGTTGCTTGGTTTTGCTCTGTCTTGTTTTTGTACATGTAATTATCTCCACAGGTCTGTCTAAATAAGATCGGATGGAAGAACAATCTGGAGGAGAAAACAATGGGACCTACAGTTCTGGGGGGACATGGGAGAGGGAGCGGTGGGGAGAAAGGTAATGGTGTTAACAAACCCAGGGATAAGGGAACAACAAGTGATCCAAATCGGTGGTGAGGAGGGTGT